GTCGGGGAGCAAATAAACCGCATTTGAGCCGATAGTATAGTATCTGGATAAGTGTTGTGTATATATGTATGTGTATATATATACAATATAATATAATATTATAGAGCACAATCCCTAGCAGGGCTAAAACGAGCCATCAGATGACATAGCCTCCCTGTCCCCCGTTTGATCCTGAGGACACTATATTGAGTTAACAGGAAAATATCAAAGAACATTGGGACATTATTTGATGGAATAGAAAATATTTGATGAAAGCATTTAATAGCGCGAGTCATTGGTCATAGAGTGAGTGAGTTGGGTTTAACGCCGCTTTTAACAGTATTCCAGTTATATCGCGGCGTGTCAGCTTAATGTGGGAGTAAAGCCCGAAGTGATGCAGGTCTCAGATGTTTACCACTTCGGTGAAACCCACGAGCACGGGTATGGTGCTGACAAACCTAGAAACATAATCGGGGCGAACCGCGATTCGAACCCACATTGGTCATAGAAAGAATAATGAAAGTATAAAAATATTTGGTAACAATATTTATAAACCATTTCATAAAGGTCATTTCGTCATTTAAGAATTGACCTTCACTTTGTTTGAGTTCATTGGAGTATGAACCTTCATAGAGTGAGGGCCAAACTGTATGAACGTCAGAGCTTGCGACGACGTTCATACAATGTTTGGCCCTCACTCTATGGAGGTTCATACTCCAATGAACTCACACAAAGTGAAAGTCAATTCTTATAACTTTTTATCACAATTTCTTACCTCAAAGGATGTAGTCCAAGATCTAAACACAATTTTATTTAGTAAGTGTGACTTCATGTTTACACTGACATCCAAACAACAACCAGCTATTTCGCAGAATAAAATAGTTCCCCAAAAATGAGAGGTGACATGAGCGTATGGATGCAGAACTTGCTCTTCAGAAACATCTTACGCAACACATGTGTTCATATAATATCCCCATTAGATGAGAAAGGTCTGTAATGAACTACCTCAGTAAGTCAGCCACAATGACAGCGCGTCGTAATACATTTACATCAAGTACAAGACGTCAAAATGTCCGACACGATAAACGTGACGGGAGGATTTCCGAAGTTGTTAATGAACCTGTAGCGGTTACATGTGTTAGTCATCATTGATCAACTGACCGATTATTGAAAGGTGATTAAATATTCGTCAAACAGACACCAAGGTAAATTCGTAGATTGCTGGAGACGGTCACTGTCAGCCTAGACACAGATCGAGTCGATACTGACGATAGTTTGGATGTGCATTTTTTCGTTTGTTCATTAGGATGGGCCGTAGCGAGGAAATTCGTGAACAATCATGCAGTCAAGCTCTCTTACGTTTCTTATGTATACTGAAATGCTGAGACCAAGATTAAAGGTTCTAAATGATCAGAAATAATGTTTATGAATGTTTTCGTGCTAGGGAATTCAAAGGGGTTTCTCAAGGAATGTGGAAGTAGTCCGTCAGTGTTTACGTCATTTCAAGAACACGGTCTCGTGAAAAACGTATGAACGTCAAATTGTGTCGTTTATACACTTACGAACGTCAATTTCGCGGTCATGTGACCGACCTCTCGTCCAATGGAAAAGCCGTATATCGTGTAAACGTCAAATTAAAAAATCATGTTCAAAAACGCAATGGTCAATAAATGCAGTATTTCCAATTGTTGTGTAATAACAACCAATGTTTCGCAAACATCTCCATATTGCGGATTCATACAGTTTGCACATCGGTTTTTCGATTCAGACCTCAATGAACCGAAAGAAATACACAGTGAGCCCTTAAATCACCACATCTGCGCACATAGACAAAGTTGTATCAATGTTTCAACAAAGTAGAAAAGATCAAATTAATAAAATATTGATATAGCTGCAGTTCACACATGGTCGATTGTAGCGCTGAAGTGTGTTCATTGGGGGCAGTTGAACAGTATGTTAGTCCCGACGTGTTTCCATGGAAATGCCAAAAAAGGGGAACACAGTCAAACGAATGGGAGTGTAATCTGATTAGTAGAAAAACGCTGTTAAATGGGATTGGGAGGTGGTTATCTTATAAACAGTCAACAAACTGCAAAAGGCGCCAGTTCACCACTTTGGTGATGTGTGTATGTGTGTATGTGTGTATGTGTGCACATTGTCATGAAGGAATAGGAAACAGTGTTTAGGTTTTAGGTTCTGCTATTTGAAGTGAGTGAGTGAGTGAGTGAGTGAGTGAGTGAGTGAGTGAGTGAGTGAGTGAGTTTGTAACAGTATTCCAGTTATATAACGGCGTGTCAGCTTGGTGTGGGGGAAAAGCTCCAAATGATGCTTCTATTTAATGAAACCCACAGTCAAAGTCCCATTTTTTCCATTGAAATACCTAAACATAACAAACGATAAACATTCCTAAACAGCAAAAAGGCAGCAGTGAATGGCACTTGGGAGTTTATCTATTTTATACATGTTTAGGTCTAGTGTCAAGGTTACAGTCCACGTGTAAGTGTCATGTTATACACACATAAATGAAATCAGTGATACGTAAACCGAAAGGTTCGTGGCGTCATAGATATTGATTTGTGTAATATGAAGTTAAAACAGGTGTATGAAGAATATAATCTCTTGGAACACAAAACACCATGTTACAAGCTGATAAATGCATCTGTTTTCGAGAAATCAACTGGAGAATTAGACATGGGTGAGAGAAAAGCGAATATGGAGAAAACTGAGAAACAAACTGTGTTTAAATACTAACTGGTACATGCAAAAATGTGGATGTCACCATAGGATGTGTTTGTTTGTTTGTTTGTTGTTTAACGCCGCACTCAGCAATATCCCAGCTGTATGACGGCGGTCTGTAAATAATCGAGTCTTGACCAGATAATCAAGTGAATCTGATTAAATTCATGAGCATCGATCCACGCAATTGGGATACGATGACATACATCAAGTCAGCGAGCCTGAGCACCTTATCCCGTTAGTCGCGTCTTGGGACAGGCATAGTCGCCTTTTACGGCAAGCATTGGTTGCTGAAGACCAATTCTTTCCTGGATCTTCCCGAATCTCAGGGAGACAGTAAGACTGACTAACATCATCTCCTGCAAAGCACAGTCGCCTATTACGGCAAGCACGGGTTGTGAAGACCTATTCTAACCCAAATCAATTCTAGTCACCAAAGGAAGTGCGCAAATATATGATGACTGTCCTTGGTAATGAACTGTTAAGAAGTAGATCAGAAGTAGCACAGAAGATGACCCTAGGTCTGGTAGTCCTGACGCCACGTCTGGAACTTAAGTGGAGGCTGTCCACCTCATGATAATGGCTGACCGGAGTGTTACAATTCGGCATATCGCTGACACGAGTGGGTCAGTACAGTACACCTTGACTGACACACTCCACCTAAGCAGACGTTTACACCAGATCAGAAGCTCATTCGACTGTACATATGCAGGGACCTTTTGACTGGTGAATCAGAGGAGTTCTGTTTCATTGTAACCCATGATGAGACCTTGGTCATCACTTTAAACAGAGGCAAAACGTCAGTGGAAACACCAAACATTTACAAGCGCATCGCAACAGTTGGCAAAGTCATGGCTTCCGTTTTCAGGGACTGACTACTGCCCTCTTTACATTACACTGAAAAGCGAAATATATATAGTAATGGGTTGTTGGTTGGTTTGTTGTTTAACGACGCACTCGGCAATATTCCAGCTATATGACGGCCGTCTGTAAATAATCGAGTGATTGTTATCGATCCAAAAAATTGGGATCGATGACATGCATCAGCCAAGTCAGCGAGCCTGACCACCCGATGCCGTTTGTCGCCTCTTACGACAAGCATAGTCGCCTTTTACGGCAAGCATGGGTTGCTAAAGACCTGTTCTACCCCGGATATTCACGGGCTAAACATAGGGACAAGTTCCACAGCGTCAAAGATCTAAAGCGACGTTTCCATTTATTACTACTGAGCACCGACTGAAACTGATCACGACGCACGTCTTATGTCAAATTCGATAAGATCTACATGTATTTCTTTCACATGAAAGTCGCTGCAATAACCTGTGCGGAAAAAGGCAAGCCAGAATTCTAACGGATGCACCGTGGGCTTGTATCCAAGATTCGCCCAGATGATATATCTTCGTTTGCCAGCATCCGTTGCGATCCGAAGCCATGAACACTATTATGTAGAGAGGCTTAGTGAAGATATATCAATATACGAATCTGGCTCAACCACAGACTGGCAGACATGTAAATAGGTTTGGGGATAATTGTGCACTCTTAAGTCCTCTTCGCTGTATTCTAATGTACTATTTCAAGACCTGAACCCCTATCCTTCATTTGTACCCCAGCATGGTCAATGGTATTACAATGAAGGAAAAAAACTTTGAAAAGATTCATGTACATGAACTCCAAAACAGATATCTAAGACAGATTTTACTGCCGCTTCCATCAGTAAACAGATTCGACATTAATTTCGTACTTTGATCGGTGACTTAAGTTTTCCCTTCATTTCAAAGGAATTTGTGCCAGGAATCTGGTGAGTACACATAATGGTTTACTGATCATGAGAATGGGTAAGAGTTTTAAGTTCCACATGGCCGGTTCCATGGCCCATCATGCACGTGTTGGGAGGAAAGAGCTCAAGGAATGGTCCAAACAATTTGTGTTTACCAACAACATATTTGTCAGAACCTGGACACAGGACAAATATTCGTTACTAAAAACTGAGGACAGCATTTTCTGGAACAGATTACATGAAAAAAATCCCATCCCCTTAAATATCTTAAAATCTAACCTATTGTTTGTGGTGAATTTGGGACATCCTAACGCGTGCAACCAACATGTGTGAACACAATGTGCTGTCGCGGCGGCCACTGAATGGACCAATTAGAAGTTATACATAGGTACTGTTACCCCTTTGAAAAAAATGGCACAGTCCAAATAGCAATTTAGATCAGGCCATTTGCGTGTTGCATGATTCACACGGATGTGACATCACGTGCAGGGTAGGGGGGATTAGGGCCAGAATTTGAGTCTGTTGGGAATCTCGTGGATTTACATCTGTTGGGATGGATTTATGAACACAGGACTTCATCATTCCAGCAAAGGTAGGCTTAAAGTAAACTTTATTATCAGTAACCCATTGCCGGTTGTATTTTGAACCCTTTAATGCTTGATTTACGGACAGCATTGAGATGTGGTCGGCTTTACAAATATATTAAATTTCGTCTTTCAGGTCTTGATATAAAGTACAATGAGCAGGTGGGACCATCACAACAGACTGTCAAAGGACATTTTATGAACGCTTCTTTCATCAAGAGCCTCACACAAAAAATACTCCCATTTTTATATTTCGTGTTTTAAGATTTTGATTTTCCCCAAACCACAATCATGATAGTCGAATTAAGATCAAAAGAAGATTGCAAAATATGTTTGTGAGTGTGGCCTCTTAAAATAAAGTGTGTAATTTTGAATAATAACATATATGTAATATAAGTAGGACTAAAGTAGGTATTTGAAACCATTTTTATAGAAATAAATATGTCAACAAAAATAGTTCACTCAGTTTGTTTTATTGAAATGTTAGAAGGAAATTACAGATGTATCTGAGCAGAAAATCTTGCTGATATGACTCATATTCAGGGACCTTCAATCGCCCCCTTGGGCAGCTTGAGGCTCCTTCAAAACCAAAGTAGCCTGAGAGTATATCACTTATATAAACATATGTAAGACAACAACTTAATAACCACAATTATGTTCTTCCTATATTTGATACATTGTCTTCACTTACAATTAATTATTTCAATTTTCAGTATTTTAAAATGTGAAAAGAAAAATGTGTTGTAGGCACCAAACTTTCTGATCTCATCAGAATAAAGCGTTGTTGATGTTTGTCCAGGTGTTACTTCAGAGAGTTTAAGCTTAGTTACACCAGCTGGGATGGGAGTGAATTTGTCCACTGTGGATCTCGATGGTAATCTGTCAGGAACCTTACCTGCCAGACTAAGTACACTTTTATTAACAGGTCCCAAACTCACACTAGCAACTTTTTCAGATTTCAAATCAAATACACATTTGTGGGTCTCATCACTGAAACGTTGCCTATTTGTATCAAATAGGTTAATTTTGCTGTCATCCCGTAGCAAAGTTTCAATATATTCTGATGATTCCTTCCAATCGGAACATTCCTTCTGTAGTCTTTCATAATCTCCGTGAGGACCAGGTCCATGTCCATTGTGTTCATTTCCCTCTGTAACATCTGTAGTAGATTTTGATTTTGTTTCCAAGTGCGATATTGTCAATTTGAATTGTGAATTCAAAATACTCAGTTCATTAGCTTATTTCTCCAAGTCATGAATAGTTTTTCCATGTTTAGTTTTTTCTTCCTTCAAATAATCAACCTTACTATCACGTCTTTCAAGTTTTCTTTTCAATTGTTTCTTTCCTACTCTCAGGTCTGTAATCTTAGAGCTGTTCAGTAGGGTCTTCTTTCACAGACAGGGTCACGGGTGGCCCAGTCATCTAAGGCGCCATGAGTTGCATCGCTTGGGCACACCAGAAACCTATGATTGTGGGTTCGAATCCCGGTTCGCCCTGATTATGTTTCTAGGTTTGTCAGCAACATACCCATTCTCGTGGGTTTCACCGAAGTGGTAAACGTCTGAGACCTGCATCACTTCATGCTTTCCTCCCACATTAAGCTGACATGGTGCGATATAACTGTAATACTGTTAAAAACGGTGTAAAACCCAACTCACTCACTCAGTCTTTCACAGAAGTAGATGAAATACACTGAACAGTTACTGAAAAATATTTTCTCGAGATAGTCTTCTTTTGTAGAACCTGTCAAAGTTTTGAACTGCGAATAATCTGTCATATTTACACATTACACCTTAGGATTCACTTCCCTAATGTCAGTGTGAGTTAATCTAGCAATGACCTCAGTGAATTGATTTCTTTCTAAATGTGGGTTGTATTCAATCTCTGTAGCTAAACAAAGATCTGAGGACATCCCATTACGGGTCACGTCAGAACAACCTTTCATCTGACCAATCAAAGCGTCGCTTACCAGATCATGAAAGTGACAGTCGGAATGTGTTTTCTTATCATGCAACCTCGAAAATGTTAACACGTTGTGTCCCGAACGACAGTTACGGGCTGTACGACTGATTCAGTTAAAATTATCGTCTATCGCTCGCTTCCGTGGGATAAACATTTGAACGGAGGAGGCGTTGCACAGTACGTTGGATTCACTGCCATACAATCTCAATCAATTAGACATTCCAGAATATTCGTTTGTTCAGTTTTCCAAATTTTAATTGAGAACTGTGTCAACATATTTTTCAAGCATAGTCTGATGTGGAAGTCACCAGGTGGAAGCGAGTGATGTAAAGCTCGAAAAAACTTCTTTCTAATTGGCTGATGTCGACTTCTTGTTGGTCATTTCAGTGGTCTGTCAAAGTTTGCGAAAAAAGTAGAATCATTATTCAGGTAGTAACATATAAAATATATCATGCCAGGGAACTGTGTAAAAAATAATTTGGGCCAACATTTGACCATAGAAAAAAGCAAAAAAACTTTCAGTGGACTAGTAGGTATCTGGAAAACAATGATCTTCTTTTCATCTCCTTGTCCTTTCTTCCTCCCCCCACCAAACTGATATTTTGAGAATAAATCTTTATTGAAAGAATTTCTATAACAACACGATAATAACTACAAGTGCTCTTCACACCATTGAGCTAGCTTCTGAAGTCTTTTTGCAGGAGATGGTCTGTGAAGATCCGGGGTAGAATAGGTCTTCAGCAACCCATGCTTGTCGTAAGAGGTGACTAACAGGATTGGGTGGTCAGACTCGCTGACTTAGTTGATGTATGTCATCGTATCCCAATTGCATGGATCGATGCTCATCTGGATTATCTGGTCCAGACTCGATTATCTACAGACCGCTGTCATTTAGCTGGAATATTGCTGAGCGTGGCGTTAAACAACAAACAAAAAAACACAGCCTGAACCATATTATTTACCCTTCCGTCCTAATCTAAATGAAACAAGTCAAATTTTCCACTGGTTCAGTCTTCCTTCTCACTGGGGTTCTTTTTCAATTTAAATTTTTTTTAATCTTTTGTCTAGAAATGATGTTTTCTTGGAATTTTCTGAATAATTTAACATTTTCAATAACAATGTTCAGTTTGTTAATACAATGTTTTGTTAATCTATGTTTCATTTAATTTTAATTTAATAAACTGCTAAACTTTTGTTTTATTTTTTTGCTGAGCACTTGCAGTGGCTAATTGTCCTCGACTGTTGAACTGTTGACTGCAACAGGGAGACAACTCTGTCATCCATGAGTACAGTAAGAGTCGCTTCTACAAGTCTGTGTATACACAGGGCATTGTACACAAAATGGTATAGCAATGTGTTAGCTGCACTGTTCTCACGGCATGGTATCGCTCAGTAACTTGAACTTAGATGGCCTAGTGCAACTGAACAGCGATTTGATTGGCTGTTTGGGCTCAATTCCTTATAATCTGGTTTGTTATTAATCGATCCTGGACTTGTGTTGTTGACCCAAAGGGCTTCCTTTTCCGGGCTCATCATTAACATTTTCTGCAGATACCTGTTCCAAAGTCTGCAAATCACAGACTGAGACACATTGAACGTATTGAGTTCTACCAGGAGTAGCAGGCCCTTAGGCGTTCATCACGTTGTTGACGACACATGCCCTATCTGATCACAAATACTGCATTAAAGCAGCAAAAGAGATCTTACTCGGATAATGAAACAGTGATAATGGTTCAGAGTGATCTGACAACCTTTCACTGATGGGTCAGTATCAAGAATGACCCCTATGCACATACACAGGGAAATTGCATGGTACATATGAATGTTTTGGGTCAGGTAGAGTGTTAGAACGTTTTTGGAACAAAACCGGCAGTCTTTTTGTGAAGCTGATCTTTTTCTGACGAGAGGTCATAACATATGTGTTTCATTATTCCCTACTTTTTCGGGGGCGGTCGGGTAGCCTAGTGGTTAAAGCGTTCGCTCGTCACGCTGAAGACCCGGGTTCGATTCCCGACATGGGTACAATGTGTGAAGCCCATTTCTGGTGTCCCCCGCCGTGATATTGCTGGAATATTGCTAAATGCGGCGTAAAACCATACTCACTCACTCACCCTACTTTTTCGAGTGGTGTACATACAGTGGAACTCCACCCCTTATCAAGACCCTAAAGATATCCGTACTCGAGAAGAGACATAATAACCACACACTCAAGATGCATATGGATGAATTTGATTGAATTTATAGAATTAATTATTATGAGTTCAAACAGACATTTTGAAAAATGTGTGATTCGTTCAATGCCCTTAGCATAATCCATTCAACAGGATGACAGGGTTGCTGACTTTCGGTGTCCCTCCTTTCAACGTTAAGGATAATCCAGATAAAAGAATTAGTTAAATCAGTGCTGTGAATGAAGAATGCTTGTCAATAAAGTAAAATGACTGGGATATTATCAAAACAACAGCTAGCTGCTTTTTTACATTATCGTATTAAACAACACAGTGAATTGTCAGTATTATCAGTTGTATGTGAACAGATTTTGGTGTGGTGGTACATTGCGCACATGTATATGTATCTCGTGTGCACATTTTAATTGGTATATTCTGCCTTTATATTACTAAAACAATATAATTTTCTCTTGAAGTGGGCATGTTGGCTTCTTTTCTGGTGTAATGGAGGGTGTAAATAGATCTGCCATTTAGCGATTCCATACCATGGTTCTACAAACTGTTGACTGTAACAGGGAGACAACTCTGCCACCCATGTCTTCAGTTGGATTCTCTTCACTACATGCCTGAGTGTATACACATCCGTAAGCATAGGGCATTGACAGGAAACTGGTACATTTATATAAACATGATGAAAAGGAACAAATACAGAAGCACTGAAGTTAATTTTGAATATATATGTCCGTGAAAATATGTCATACAATGTGCTGGACACAAAGCCGAATACAATGGACAGACAGGGGATATCCTAAGAGTGAGAGTGTCTTGCCGGTGTATCCCACTCAGTAACCAAATTGATCAATGTGCCGGAAATAAAA